CATTGTCTCATTATTTAGTTTGCCCACTATCTAGTTTCAAATTGTTTACCCTTGTGTTAGTTTCATATCCTTGTATATATATCTCATAGTATATCTCATTGCAAGGATATATTCCTTTGTTCATATTGCATATTCTTGCTCACAATTAGTTGTATATCTATCTTACAAGAATATATTTGTTAATAAGTTTTAATTGGTATATAATCGGATTAGATTAGCATAAGACCCTAATCACCCCCCTCTAGGGTCTAACACATTCTATTAAGCTAGTAATTATATTTGAGTTTAGTTGATTTAATTTCACTCATTGTTTACACACACCCATATTGAGCTTATTGTATTTTCATAGATAGTATAATTAGGTTGGTGAGTGTTGTAACAATTGAGTGTGAGCCTACATTGAGTTCTCATCTATTGTAAAGAACAAATCATTTATTATATTGTGAGATTATAAAGTTTTCGGTTAGCTAGAAAACCAAGTGTGAAGTGGAGATATCCTCGAGGTGAGGAGCGGAGATGTAGGTCGTGGGGACCGAACTCCGTGAATAAAATTGTGAAGTGTAAACGTTATTCGGGTGAGCGTAGAAAACCCGGTTGTGATAGTGGATTTCTCCCCGGGAGTGGGGAGCGGAGACGTAGGACGGAAGGTCCGAACTTCGTGATCATATCGTGTGTTTGAGTTTGCTTTGGCGCACTTACTCGTATGTTTATGTTTCTTGTCGTCATTGTCCATTGCTCATTATTTATATCATCCACTATCTTGTTTAATTTATTTATCCTTGTGTATATCACTTATCCTAGCTCACATATCTTGTTGTATTTTATACTTGCTAGGATAACTTGTTAATTAGTTTTAATTGGTATAAAATCAGATTAGATTAGCATAAGACCCTAATCACCCCCCTCTAGGGTCTAACAGTATGTTCCAAGCTCGCACCAGTGGATCGGTGTGGCCACTGAGGTTGGTTTGTTGGGTCAAAGTAGATCGGTGTCGCTACTTTGGTCCGTGAATTTGATACTCACCCGAGTTTAGCTTGAGTCCGGACCAGGCTGGAATCAGATTGCGTGTAGTCCTCTGACCGAGTTTGTGTAGCGGTATTGGATGCATGTAGGAGATTTGTGAACAGTCATTTATCCGATGATATGAGCATTGACTCTATGTGAGATGTGGACCAGTGACCTGTTATAGAATGACTAGTTACATGACCTTGTTACTTAAGGTGATTATGGATTCTTGTGAGATGTAGGTCAGTTGTATTTTCTTTTCATACATAGATTAGGATTAATATTTAATTAATTATAATTTGAGACATATAGTATATACATGAGGGTTTCCTTGTTTGGATTATTTCGCTCGACGTACTACGTCTCTTATTATAGATTTTTAAGTATTAATTTCATTTAGTTGTATGACATTGTTACTTGGATGATTATTCTGATGGCTAGCTGTATGATCTTGTTACTTGGTTGATTTTTAGATTCTTCTGATTATTATATTATTATAGTGGTGGATTACATTTAAATTATTAGAATTTCAATACCATACTTCTATTATTATTATATCTGTTTTTGTCTTGATCATTCGACCGTTTTTATTTCTCTCTGTGAGATCTTACCGTATGCCATGCACGCTAATGTACACCTATTTTTTCTGGTGTACGTCAGATTTAGGAGACGGATAGCCTCAGTTCGGAATCGTATAAGATCCAGAGGATTCTCAGCAGGAGTGCCTAGCAGACGGAGCAGAAGAACAAGTTGAAGCTTAGCTATTTCCTTAGTTATTGATGGTCCTTAGTTTATTTTTAGCAGTACTTTCTTTTATTTTGGACTATGTATTTTTATATTCCTGGTTGGACCGTTTTTGTAACAAGGACATGTTTGACCCATATTTTTATGTCTAGGATGATCTATTTGATGATATGTCTATTTCTTATTTTGGATTGTTATTATATTCTCACTATCTGTGATCGGGGACCTGTACCTTTGCATTTATATCCTGACGCTTAGCGTATTAGGTTGAGGAGAAATATTTATTTTTATTTATTCTCTTTAATCTAATACGTCATGGGCTTGTTCACGTTTCAATTCTCGGGTATTTTGGGAACCGGGGCGTGACAATACTGACTTGATCATCGGAGGAATCATTGGAGAACCCAACTCTGGTCCTCTAACATGTTTGTTTTGCAGTTATCTTATTCTAGATAGGGGATCAGGCGTGTAAGGGAATGAGGGGACCCTGACATGGTTTGTATCGACTCCGAACCCCGTTGCTAACTCAGGGTTATCAACTAATCTCGCTGCTGAGTCTCAGGATATCAACATTGTTGGTGTTGTCATGTGTTAAAAAAACATGATACATCGAAATGTAGAAAAAACCACACGTGGTACATAACCACAAAATACAGGAAACTTTTAAATATATAAATAGAATTAAACCTTTTAATATCAATTCTCTTTGGAAAAACTTCCAAAGTGACAAAAAGATGGGCTCACTTTGTCTCCCATCCATCCTTTCACGTCCGTGTGGAGACAAAATCTTTTCACATTTCTCACGATCTCTTGGTAATCCTCGTCCCCATCAATGTATCCTTATTTCTTAACCGGAAATGATTTTTGTCACGCGAGATGGGTGCGTGATCCCGTCTCGCGTGACAAATAGAAGGACTCTCTTAACCCCCCGACGCTCCAAATCCAAAGTTAAAAAGTGCCCATTCGTCCCTTTTCAATTTTTAAATTATATTTCTTACCTCCATCTCCTCGATTGTTCACCGTACTTTTGTAGTGCCCTGCACGAAAAAAACACCTCCTTTACGTAAAACGTCCCTGTACTTTTTTAACCAACTAATTTTATTAAATTTTAATTTTAATCTACCACCACCGCCAGTGAAATGTGACGAACGAACACGAGCCACGTGAGTCTCTTTTGTCCCGCAACTGCTCGAGTTTCTGTCTTCCGAAAATGCCCCCGAGGTGCGCATTATTTCATCAGTTCGTCTACGCGTGGGCCGTCATTGGGCTGTTGGAGAAATATTTTTAGATGATTTATTAGCGGGCAGTTCGCTGGCCTATAGTAGGCGGGCAGTCCTGTCCTGTTTTATTCCCGAAATGCCCTCACTGTTTTTTTAGGATATGTCATTTGTGGATTAAATTTTTTTTTTTGAAAAAGAACGAACTTCGAAGCTCTAAGGAGTTGACTACGAAGCTTTTTGACGCTGTTATTTATTATTTGGTGTTTACATAACCTGTTTGGGATTTTAATGTTGCATCCACAAGCATTGTCCATGCTGCCAACACTTTAAAAACTTAGTTTTATAAAAACGGTTTTTCTATAGAGTGCTTATGGGCACTCTATAAGAGAGGAGAGAGATGAAGAGAAATGAATTATGCACAGAAATTAATTCAAAGCAGAGGGAGCCCATGAGCTATTCATTTCTCTCCATCTCTCTCCTCTCTTAGGGGCTGTTTGGATTGATTTTTTAGATAGGTAAAAAGGGGGGAAGCTGCCAAAAATGTCGGCTTTTTGGCAGGTTTCCCCCAAAATCACCCTTTATAGAGGTGATTTTGGGGGAAAACTGTCAAAAAGCTGACATTTTTGACAGATTTTTCCTCTTTTACCTATCCAAAAAATCAATCCAAACAGCCCCTTATAGAGTGCCCATGGGCATTCTATAGAAAAACCGTTATAAAAATGGATAACTACGATGAAGAATATAATGCATGCATGTATCACGTGTTGCTGTTTTGTGATCAGATAATTATAGTTATTAGATAATTGACGAAATATGTAAAACATTTCTAGTAAATACTTTATTTGTACATTATCATAGACTCATAGTCCACACATAATTACCATCCTTTGTGATAGGGATAAGATCAAATGATAGTTAGAATCCCACTTCTTTAAATGCACAAATTTATTAGTTTCTTTTGCTCAGTTTGTTTTGTTAGCATACCATACACAAAAGAGAGCAAGATACATTGTTTGTATCTTCTAGTATGATAAAATGCAAATATGTTTTTTGGTTCTTTATTCTTCATATTTAGCTTCTTTTCGAAATCTCTTTAACAAGACGGGTCATGTATTCGGCATTTTTAAATGTAAAGAAAAAAATTGCATAAATAATCCAAAGAATTGTTTGTAACCAAGGAAGAGTTTATAATGCATGAAATATAAATACGAACTATACTGATATATTTTATTTGAATAAGACATGGATGGTGGCTGACAGCCTAACAAGTGCAACATCCAGATGAATCCACAAATGTCAACCGAACGCCATTTCCATCGAAAAACCCTTGTACACTCATTTTTTATGCGAAAAAGGACCGTTATTATTGGTTTTCTTTTAACTACGAAAACGACGCAATTATTAACAAAAAAAAATCCAACAAAACTAGTAGTCACTTTCGTACTCACCAGCGTATGAGGTCAACTTTGTAATTTACTAAGGTCCAGGCTCCAGCTGAGTTTCCCCTCTATCCAAGTCAACGTCTATGCGCTTGCTATCTCTGTTTAATTTGGAGGGAATTCAGCTCCCATTTCTCTTCCTCTCTCTCTCTAAAAAAGAAGAAGAAGAAGGAATTCCAAACTTTAAACCCTAAAAAGGTTCTCTTTTACAATCCAAACCCTTCTCCTACATGAGCACTCGGAGAATCAATCAAGCGGTAACGTAAATTAACGCGTCCGCAATCGAACCCATGGACGGCGATGGCGGCGGAGAAGCGGACCCCAAGGCGGTGACGGCACCGCCTCGGCCGACGATCTCTCTCCCGCCACGGTCTACGTTCGAGAGCCTCTTTCGTGCGCGGCCTCTGACGTCAGCCCTGGGCCGATGACGCTCGTATCGAGCTTCTTCAGCGACGATCCTGATAACGGACTGCCGATCGTTTTCGCAGCTTCTGGCGGGGGCGATGAGTTCGCCGGCGGGGCAGCTGAGGAGGCCGCGCCTTCCGCCGCCGCCGCGAGCTCCGCGCGGATGAGGGGAGTCGGGCGCGAGGAGAGGGGTAGTGTGCGCGAGAATGGGCGCGATGAGCTTGGTGGTATCGCAAACGCAGTCGCAATCGCCGTTCTTCATTCCGGCAGGACTCAGCCCTGGAGGGTTGCTCGAATCGCCGGCGATGTTTTCGCCTAATTTGGTTGGTTATTTTATCTATTTTTTTTTTGATTTTTTGTTTTCTTACATAATTATTGGTTTTCGAGATGACTGTGTATGAATAAACGGATAAACGGAGGTGACGAGTTGTTGATCGCACATGAGTTTCATCAGTTAAGTTGACCTTTTAGGATAGTTGGCTATAACTAATAAAATTTTTGGTTTTGGCATTGATTAATTGGTAGCCGAAATGGATAGTTGAACTTAAGCTCTCTTTTCGGATAAAAGCTCTGTTTTTGCTGTTTTTGGAAGGTTGAGGTAATGATCATAAGCCGTCAGATGAGACCCGGGTTGGAGTTTATGGTAAGAGGAGAAAGGTTTCAGAATTTGATGGATTTTAGCCTCCGATTTTATGCGTATGATGGGATTATAGATTTTCTTCCATAGTAGAAAGTGATTAAGACATTGCCACCCTTCTTTCTCTGATCTGGGGAATGACGAGAATGTGAGAACACATTTAGTAATTTGAAACAAAATACTTGCTGAGAGATGCAAGCTTAATTTGGAGATGATTTTGAAGTTGATTTCACTTTGTGTTAAAACTAAGAGATTAAGTTAGAGATTGAACAACATTGATGATTGTTTATCTTAGTTAGGGCGGAAAAATTGAGGGAAGATTCTTCAAGCTTGTCTTAGTACAGGGCAGGGTTCAAGCATTTATAATTTTGCATTAGCGTGTAACAAATGCTCTTGAGCAGATCCCTATAATGTGGAACTTTCACAGGGCACCTTAACATTAGTTAATTCATGATTCTTCATACCTGTCTGGTCCCTGTGAGCAACCGAATCTCAAAGATGCGGCATCTTTCATTTTCTCTTGGCTTTTCAAAATTTGCATACAAATGCCTGTATCCATTATCAATTTTCACATATGGCGCAACATATGTTTGTAATGAATTCTATTGTACTATGAGTTTGATTTTGTTCAGAACATATTTGTGGTGGTGTCAGACATTTCTTAACCAAGCAGCTGAATAGCTACGACTGTTATTGTCTTTACTTAGGAACTTGCACTTTTTACGTACTTGTCTTGGGATAATTGATTGGTACGGCGTTGCCTATGCCTTCTATCTTCGTCTCTTTTTATGTGGAGTCTGAGGTCTCAAGCATTTCAGAATGTAATGTACAAAGGAAGTAGCTATCTAATTTTGATATGTATGAGATGGACTACTATTAGGTAAGAAAACAAATATGAATAGTAAAATACAGATTAAAGAAAAAGAGTGCAAGAGGTTTAGCTTAAAAAAGAGATGGAGATAGATTTCAGGGAGGGCCCAACAGAAGTAGCTAAATTTAGTATATAAAGCTTTCCAAGATGCAGATGATTTTTTTTTTTTTTTTTGTCACGAGGGGAGTGAGGAATAATACTACGCTTTATATACATGCTATATTTGTGAAAGAAAGATTAGGACAAGGATTTAAAATCTAAATTTTGAATGTGAAAATATATTTTCTCATGCAGATGTGGATAGCATAAAGTTTGTTGAAAATTTTGATTCTAAGAATCGTAGTTTATCTCAAATTAGACTTAAGAAGGTATTTCCAACCCCTGCCTCCTGGGTTAGACTCAAGAAGGTATTTTTGAAGTTAGCAAAATAATCTCAAATTAGAAGGATATTATGTAAAAATCATGTTCCATAGAGGCTCTGAAGTTTTGAAGGAGCCGATGCGTCTGTCTGTCAGTGTTGTCTGTCCCTGGGGAATGGTAACTGCATGGAGAAGTGTATTATTATTAAACCTTTAACTCATGCATGGAACTATCTTCTTTCTCTGACTACATTTTATCAAATTTCAGATCTGAGTAGTATGATTTTACCGTGGAGATGACCATTTTTGTGTGCTCCTATAGAACTAGATGAGTCGTAAAATCTTCAACATGCCTTCACATGGATTTTGCTAACGAAATTTCCAAATTCTACTTCATTTCTGGATTGTTTTTCAATGCCATAACTAGGTATGTATATTAAATTCTCTGCGTTCAACTTCTGACTGTGTTTGGGCACAACTTTTTAATATATTATTTCTTTTTCTCTGTTCTGTTATGTGGTTGATGAGCAAGTTGGTCTTTTATATTCACCTATATCAGTCAATGGGCTCTATGCAGGGATCCTTTGGAATCTCACATCAACAGGCTCTAGCACAAGTCACTGCTCAGGCATCTCAATCTCATTCTCATATGTATGGTCAAGCAGAATTTCCATCTTCGCATCACACAACAACTACGACTACAGTCACACAGCCCACTGGCGGAGCACTCAATATGGCATCATATCAACATATTCAACCTGCAACATCAGATGCAAATAATATGTCTTTTGAATCTGGAAGGATTTCTCATTGTACACAGAGAACCCAACCCCCTGCTGTAGTTGTTGACAAGCCTGTTGATGATGGCTACAATTGGCGGAAGTACGGGCAGAAGCAAGTCAAGGGCAGCGAATACCCTCGGAGTTACTATAAATGTACTCATCCAAACTGTCCAGTTAAGAAAAAGGTTGAACGCTCTGTTGAGGGTCAAGTAACTGAGATAATTTATAAAGGCCAGCACAATCATCAGAAGCCCCCACCTAATAAGCGTGCAAAAGAAAGTAGCTCCAATGCAAATGGATCCAATGAGATAAGTACGAACCAAGATTATCCTGATAATGCCGATACTATTTCACAATCTAAAAGAGACAGGGAATCTTGTAATGAGACATGTGAGCAGTTATCTGGATCGAGTGATGGTGAGGAGGTCGGTAATGTTGAAGTGGGGCAGGATGAAGTGGGGAACAGTGAACCTGATCCAAAGAGAAGGTGACTTTTTGTACAACTGAGTCAGGTTTCTCTTTGTTTACTAAATAAAATAATAAATTCCTTTGTTAATATGTAGGGTTATTGATGGTAGGGCAACAGAATCAACCTCTTCTCACAGGACAGTCACAGAACCAAGGATCATAGTTCAGACAACAAGTGAAGTTGATCTTCTGGATGATGGGTATAGGTGGCGGAAGTATGGACAGAAGGTGGTTAAAGGAAACCCTCATCCCAGGTACATATCTTTAAGCATTCTATTCTTCTTTTGCTACTATAGATATTAGGATTTATTCTGAATTGTTACAACCTTTGTTGAATAGAGGAAAGCTTGCATTGAAGCAGAGCATTTCACCTTTAACTAAATTTATAGCAAATCTGACCACCAGAATCACTGGAAAAAACTTATGCTCTTCTTTCATACTTGCACACTAGCAAACTTAATCCTCACCTGTGCTTTTTTACATAATGTCTTTTTTAAAATTTTCTTTAAAACCTTTGGTGTAACAATTCTATAACGTTATAGCTCTTTTTATAAATAATTCTTTGAAATCTCGTACTCTCTCCTTCACACTTTAAGTCATCTTAATTGATTGTCTCATAAAAGGAAGGTTTTAGAAGTTGATAAGCTACCAGCACTATTTAATTATATTACAAGGGTCAATACAGTTTTTTTTTTCGCCCAAGTTCTATGATTTTATAGAGCATATTTGTTTCTTCTTTTGTTCCGTTTTACCGAAAATCCATCTATGTTTTTTTAAGTATAGGGCTTGTTAATTTGGAGTAGTTCCTTATGGTGAAGTGTAAGATGTAAATAAATTTACACAAAATATATAGATTACAGGAAGCATCATGGCAAGTATGGAAGTATCAAAAGCTTATTAGTGCTAATTATATAAGTTTACAATTAATAGCTGGTCCTTATGTCAAAATTGAGAAAAATCTTGATACAAAGTCCAAATAGTTTTATAACAAGATATGACGGATGTTCTGTGGAACATGATGTCGCTTGGCAATCCACGGGGGCAAAACATGATGCTCAGCTGTTCGTGAAAGGCATATATAGCATGTTATACATTGGCCCATCATAGTTGAGTAATAATTTATTAAAGTAGCAAACTGCATATTCTTCAATTAAGTTGGAGTATATATGTTTCAGACTCGAGAAAAATGAAATCAATTTCCTAATACACCCCAAACCTGCTCCTAATTTTCTAATCCCTGTATATTGTACTGGTACAACTATGTTTCAAACTCTTGAAAAATGAAATCAATTTCCTAATACACCCCAAACCTGTTCCTAATTTTCTAATCCCTGTATATAGTACTGGTACAACTATGTTTCAAACTCTCGAAAAATGAAATCAATTTCCTAATACACCCCAAACCTGTTCCTAATTTTCTAATCCCTGATTATAGTACTGATACAACTTGTGTTTTCTACTTCGTCATTTTATTGTGCATGAGAACCCAAAATACGTAATGTGCTATGTTGAAATTAATTCTGAGGGAAACCAGAGACTCTATCTAAAGCGCTGTTGATCTCTTATATTTATACTAAGAGCAAATAAACACATGTTACATATTATTAGGAATATGCTAAACATATCCTTAGCATGTTCCATTATTCTCTCAATCACATCTCTAATATCTCAACCACATATTCCTAATATATTATTCCTAATATAATTATAACATCATAGATCTCCATAGTATATTCATCAACACCCTAATACAACATAGATACAAGTGACAACACTTGATCAAAGTTGAGATATGAATATATAGTGTTTCAAGCATATGACTGGTTTTGTATGTGAGAGAGAGCAAGACAATGTGTCTGGGCACATGGTTCATGTGTGAAATGGCAGTCTGCTAGTGATTGATTTAATTTTACATGCTCATTATAAAGTGACGAGGCAAAGAAATGGTTGCAACTGGTAATAATATATAATTGTGCAGCATATATGCTCGTTATGAAGTGCTAATATAGGAAGGCTTCCAAGAGTAGAAGCATGTTTATTATAATAGGATTACTTTTATATTTAGACGTGTGCCTAACTTATAGAATCAAAATAGCAAGAATGCTGCATCTTCTTTTTATAATTCTCTGCAGGTCTATATAAACAAGTTTTGGCAAAGATGTCTACAATAATTTACAGCATCTACCTGTATTAACATGTGACAGAAATAATCATGGTGGAAACTCATCTATCACTTACCTAATAAACATAATTTATTGGTTGACTGCAGTGGTAAGTTAAAGGAATAATTTTACTCATTACTGTTTCCTTCTTTCTGTGCTCTCTTATCTCTCTAAGTTTTGTTTTTCAATTCCGCCAATTGAAACCTAGAAGGAAGTTCCCACACACACATGTCAACTCAATGAATACACTCTTTATCGTCTGATGATAGTCTTCTTTTTGGTATGAGAACATTATTCTACACTAGATTAGACGTCTGTCTCAAAGTGGCATGGCACATTGAGTCAGATATCTAGATGAGTTCTTTGTCTTTTTTTGTTTTGTAATCCTTATGCTTCATTGTACTTCTCTCCTTCCCCTCTCTTTTTTGTATTTTTTCTCGAATTAATTAATAAAATTTCTGGGCAACTCGCCTGGATACTAAAAACAGAAAGGAACGCACGTAGTGTAATGATAAGTATGGAGACACCCCTGGAGTATCTGGAAGATATGACTCAAATGGGAAATTTAAGCTTTAAAATTATGCATCTGTTTTTCATTATGTTTGTATAAATTAGTATAATGAAACCCCAAGATTCCCAAAATAAAGAACTATTGAACCAGGAAAAAGAGGAACATTCAGAAGAACATACATCTGCATTTTCCCTGCATACCCTCGTTACATGCACCGTGGAACCCCAACCTCAAGGAGTTGACTGTTTCACTATACCTTATCTTCCAGTTGTGCAGATTCTCACTGGACTATTGTATTGGGTGTAATTTAGACCTCCTGTTAAGGAATGGAATATGAAGTATAGAACAACATTGAGTTCCTTCTTGCAGGCTCTGAACGCTAATTGTATTAAATGTTCCTCAGACAAAGTTTCAGACTCTGACAAGCCACTTCCAGATCAGTGCTCGCCGGAACCTTTTCAGTTATAACTAGCAAATAATTTTTTTCCTGTAAGCTTTTGAAAGACAACAAAAAAATAAAACGGAGAAGGATAACCTTTCTTTCAATTTTCCAGTTATGACCATGCCCGTTAAAACATTTTAGCATGTAAATGGTTAGAAGGTATTAAATTCTCTTTCATCACACCAAAAATCTGAAGTTCTGGAAGACGTTTAGTATTCTCAGCCATTTCCTTGCACATTTCCTAGCAGATCCTGCCTTATAGGCCTTCTCTACTTATGATAAGATCATCATAAGGAGGATAGCAAGTTGCATAGTTTCATTTTCTCTCTTGTAATTAATGATATATCTTTGTCTCTTGTTCATAAAAGTTACTCTCCTGGTCGCATATCTATCTAAATCCTCACCTTTGGAATTGTGTAGGAGTTACTACAAGTGCACTAGTGCAGGATGCAATGTTCGAAAGCACGTTGAAAGAGCTTCAACAGACTCCAAAGCTGTGATAACAACATACGAAGGAAAACATAACCACGATGTGCCTGCAGCTAGAAACAGTAGCCATAACACTGCTTGCTCCAGTAATTTTCAGCCAAAACCTCACAATCCTATACCCAACCACCAAGCTTTCCCCAGGAGGGAAGACTTGAGAAACACTGTTCATCGGCCTGTTGCAGTTCTCCAGCTAAAAGAAGAACACAACATGCCTTGAAAAGTTTCATGACTGCCCGTTTTAAGTTTGTCGTGTATTGTTGTAACTTAATTTTGTTCCTTTTTGTAGTTTTTTGCCTTTACTTTTTTTTTTTCATTTTTTTGCGGTCAGATTCTCTATGATACAGCAAGTGACACCACACAACACAGTACAGTTATATATCAATGGATAATTTGTATATTGTTTTGTTGTTACGTGGAGATGTTTCAGTCCCTAGTGATGTTGCACAATTAAAGAATTTGATATACAGTCCTAACCCGGTGGTCCTGCTTGCTGCTGAGTGGCCAATGTTTTTTTTTCCCATTGGTGGATAGTCCCCAACCTAAATTTTCTCATAAATTGCCTGAGTATTTTGGTGAATGTGTATACAGATTAAAGTTTTTGTGCTTGTATTTGTTTCCCAGATTTTGTCTGCGAGTGCGAAATCTAAAGACGGAGCAGCTTTTGGAGAGACCTGACAGAAATCCTTATTAGAACTTCATGAAAGAATGAAAAAATTGTGGAGAGATCGAGATTGAAAGATTTGACGAAGGTCTAATGGATAATTGTAAACCCAGCTTTGCCGAGGACGACCTCATTAAAAATCTCGTCTCTCTAGTTTGATTATCTCATTTCTTTTCTTGTTGAGTTCTTTACCTTTCGTTTTACATATAGTGCCAACTGCGCACTTGGCTAATAGTATTGCAGGAATCTCCAATATATTTTCCTTTCTCCGGCACACGAATTGAGAATAGCATCATCTCTGGCCTTGTCTATGCTAATTCAACATGATAGTGTGACTACATCTCCAGCTTCTTCAATTTATTCTCTGGCTTCAAGGCGAACTTTATGCTCTGATTCCCTGTGTTACTGATTCATGATCCAGTATCTGGTGCATGTAAACTATGAAGCTCCGCGGTACGATTATTTTGCTAGTGTTTTTAATGTATGCTGTGTTCTTGTTTCCATTAGAGTTTATTAGTAATGAAGGCATGAAATATTTCTTTGGCCTTTCTTTTGAAGTAGCTGGTTAAAAAAAAAAGAAAAAAAGGGGGAAAAAACTCTAATGCATATCCAATATTGTCTTCTGTTGTTATTTTTCTATTATCAGATTTGCTCAGCTTCTCACAGGGAGTCTCATCATGATCGAGTAGCCTCAGGTTGTTGGTGTTGACGAACCGCGAAACTTCTCAACGCCACTTCAGGTTCTTGTTCTTAATGACAAAAAGATAAAAGATAATCACATAAAGAATAGACACAATGATTTACGTGGAAAACCCAATCGGGAACGGGTTAAGCTCAGAGCTCGGAGGATACTTCAGTATATGGAATCAACAAATGGGTACAATGCACACACGGCACACCCGACAACGCCGACTTCCACACAACCCTCACTCACGCTCTTTGTCTATTAACTTAACACTCAAGATCTCTACAACACAAGAGACTCTCATTCACTCTAACTCTCCATACTCTCAAGAGAACAAGTGGAAAATTTAGATTACCCTTGGATTGCCTTTTTATTACCTCTCCACAATGAGAGCATGCCTTTTTATAGGCCTTGATTGAAAATGCTTCCAGCCCCCAAAACGAAAGAAAGCATGCTTCCCCGGGTGCTTTGCCTCCAAAAGTAAACTTTGTGTTCTCTGAGCCTCCAAAATACAAAACCCAATAGATTTAAATTCGTGAAGACCATAATACCAATCTCTCTCTCTTTTATATCTGTTATGTTTTGAAAGAGTTTCCTCCGTCAATCCCAGCGGAGAAGCTCGACCTCCGTCAATCCCCGCCTCTGTTGCCGCCGCCGTCGTCGAAGCTCCGTAAATCCCCTCACCGTCGATTTCGTCGGAGGCGTTTGTGCTCTACAAGGCGATCTTGAGCAGGGAGTACTTTAGAGGGGAGGGATTAGGGTTAGGGCAAGGGCAGCATGAATTGGGGCTGATGAACAAGCAGATGAGGTTCTTGGCGAGGTTTCTCACTGTTTTTTGGTGACTGGGAGGACGAATATGGTGAATCGGCTTGCTGGGCAGCTTAAGAGGCTAGTTGATGAGTGCAAGAAGAATTTTCTGGTAAAAGATTGTGTGAAAATTGAAGCATTTGAAGGGATTGAGGAGGTGGAAGAAGGAAGTGGGTCCTGTTAGTGATTTTAATCTTGTTTTTTGTTTTTTGAAGGGTTAATTATTGGGTAATTTTCCTTTTTCTTACTGATTTTTATAAGATTCAGAAACATATATAGCAATGTATGACATAATAGGTAACTTTTGGTGAGTAAAATTGATCTACGGTTGTCTTTACTCAACATCTATCCCCATCATGGCTTCAACTTGAGGTCTTGGTTTTACGCATTGGTTGTGAAGATTATGGGTTGCTAGTTAAGGTTATGGGTTGAAGCTATGAGGGGGAGAGGATATGTTGTTAAGGTTAGGATCGGTTGTTAAGGTTATGGATTGTAAAGGTTATACGTTGGTTGTTAAAGTTATGAGTTAATTGTTAAGGTTATGAGTCAATTATTAATGTTATGGTTCAGTTATTAAGGTTACGAGTTAGTTGTTAAAGTTACGGGTTAATTGTTAAGGTTACAGGTTAGATGTGAATGTTACACGTTAGAATACTTTGGGCCACTTAGCCTAGTGATAAAGTTTGGGAGGTTGGACAAGAGGTTAGAGGTTCAAACCCCTACAACCACAATATATATTTAAGGGTTTTTGATGGGCCTTGGGGCTCTTGGGCTCTTTGAATTCTAAAAATATTTTTAAAATATTAATTGTTAAGGATAATGGTTGGTTGTGAAGGTTACGCTTTGGTTATGAAGGTTACAGGTTGATTGTTAAGGTTATGCGTTAGTTGTGAATGTTACACGTTGGTTGTTAAGGTTACGCGTTTGTTGTTAAGGATAAGAGTTGGTTGTGAAGATTACGCATTTGTTGTGAAGGTTATGGGTTGGTTGTTAAGCTTACAGGTTTGTTGTTAAGGATAAACGTTAGTTGTGAATGTTACGCTTTGGTTATGAAGTCTTTAAATTCTAAAAATATTTTTATAATATTCATTTTTTTTATTTTTTAGCTCTTCAATTGCCTAATATTGTTGTTTACGAGAATTCACCTATTACGCGTTAGTTGTTAAGGTTACGAGCCCGTAACTTAACAACCAACCCGTAACCTTCACAATCAACCCGTAACCTTCACAACCAAACTGTAACCTTAACAACCAAACCGTAACCTTAACAACTAACATGTAATATTAACAACCAACGCGTAACATTAACAATCATAACCTTAACATACCGAGCGCCTTCATCCCGGACACGGTGTCGATCATCCTAACGTTCCTCAGCCTCTTAACTAACCCCAGTGCCCCAAAAAGGCCCATCATGCCCACAAGAGCTCACCACGACCTTGGCCTCCATCACGTTCGGATCCATACACGACTGTGTGTCGTGGTTCATCGACACCAACGCCCAGTTTGTCATGACCCCCCCGACCCTTCCGTTCTTAATTATCAAATCCTCCGCCACCACCACGTTGAATAGCTTCACGTTGGGCCGCATCAGCAGCTTGATCATGATGGTGGAGGTCAAGAGGGCGGCGTGCTTGGTGACGATGTAATCCTCCTGCTCATCATAGGGGACCTCGAGCTCGTTGAGGAAGAGGTGGGCGGGCTAGCGGACGACCATGGTGGAGAAGAGCTGGCCGCCGAGCCAGGCGTCGCTGCTGGGGGAGACAGACTGATCGATGATGGTGAGTTGATGTCAGGGTTCTTGGTAAGAGGTGGAGATTTGGGGGGCGGATGATGACAATGATGGGGAGGAGAAAGATTGGGTTTTGAAGGCGGAGGAGAGCTTGAGGCCATGGAAGGAGGAGGAGGAGAGGAGGTTGTGGTCGCTGGGTTTGGAGAGGAAGGAGGAGGTGGCCATGGAGGGTATTATGGTCTTCACGAATTTAAATCTCTTGGGTTTGTGTTTTGGGGGCTCAGAGAACACAAAGTTTGTTTTTAGGAGCAAAGCACCCATTGAAAAAGTCTTGGGAGGGAAAGCACGTTTTCTCTCGTTTTGGGGTCTGGAAGTATTTTTCCCTTAACCTTTTCATCTTCCAAAATGCTTGGAAATACACAAATCTATCCAGATTCGGATAGGGTACTTTCACTGATCATAATTCCATCCATACTACTCTGATTCCTGTGATTCAAAGCTTGAAGTAAACTATGCATGTACCTCTACAACTTTCATTATAGAGTTTCGAGCCAAATAATCACTGCACCATGCCCGAAAAGACCATGCAAAATTGTATCTGCATGCAAAAAATTACAGCAAAAAATTTAGTTGGAAATTGAGCCAACTCCAACAATCTCCACCTTGGCGAGATATCTGATGCCACTCAAAATTGTAAGCTGCATTTTTAGAGCATTAGTCTTCGGAATACGAGTTTCCGGAATGTCAATCTTTATCTGAATCACGAACACTTATCTTCGGAACATGGATCTTTAGAATCTAAGAAGTTAGACTCCGGAACTTCAGAGCAAGTCCTACTCTGGCTTCAGCTGCTTCACCTTGATGAGCATCAACTCATCTCCCTGCATCTCTGGTGACTAGGTGCACTCATGAGCTAACATGTCATCAGATTTAGCAGACTCAAGCAATGCTTGAACTTCTCCACCGTAACTGGTTTAGTGAGAAAATTTGTTGCATTCTCGTCTGTATGAACTTTCTTCACATCGACCTCTCCTGTCATGAGCCAATCATGAATCCGATGATAGCTTACTTTAATGTGTTTTCTCATTGCATGAAATGCCTGATTCTTTGCAAGACAAATAGCACTTTGGCTGTTACATTGAATTTTTACAGAGTTTTGATTTAGATCCAAATCACTTGCTAAGCCCTTGAGCTATATGGCTTCCTTCGTAGCTTCCGTTAATGCCATGTACTCGACTTCTGTGGTAGACAAGGTACTAATGGATTGTAGCATGGATCTCCAATATGTTGGTCCTCTACTGCAAGTGAAAACGTATCCTGTTGTGGATCTTTTCTTGTCTAAATCTCCTATGTAATGGGAATCGATGAAACCAGTGATGCACACCTCTCCATATTGTCTTTCAAATATAATTCCCTTATTTCTGGTGCCCTTCAGGTATTTGAGAATCTATTTGACAGCTTGCCAATGATCTTTACCTGGATTTGACATGTACTTTGACACCACGCTCAAAGCTTGAGCGAGATCTAGGCTTGTGCATACCATTGTGTACATTAAACACCCGACTGCACTTGCATACAGAATCTTCTTCATTTCTTCAACTTCAACTT